TTTCTTTCTTTCTTCTTCTTATAATTATTATATGTGCATTCCTTTAATGTGATTCTAACGTAGTTCTCATGCATAACTCGCAGTTTCTTGCTATTCGCTTTTCCCTCTTCTGTATGAAGCCCAAGAACATCCGATTAAAATCCTACTCCTGCTTCTGCACACTGTTCTGATTCTTTTCGGGTTCTCCTCACGTTTTACTGGGAAAACTGCTACAACAGTTAAAGAAAGTGACCGTAAATTAGAAAACTCTGCTTTCCATATTGGGTGGCTTGGAAAATCCTACCTGCTCGGTTTATTAACCGTGGAGATTTGGGGGCAGTTTTTGCATCCTATTGTTTTCGGTGAACGGCTTCCCTTTCTACCTCTCATGATGATTTCGATATATTGTGCTATAGGAATGGTTTACTCATGGATTTGGCAGCTGAAGATGATCTGTTTGAACCAATGAATCATATAATAAGCTAATTTGAACTGACATTTAGCTAAAGTTGGAGCATTAGATGATCCCACAAGTGAGAAATTTTTTTCCTTTTTCTTTACATTTTTTTTTTTTAAATTTGATTTTTTGGCTTTTGCTCTTGTTTTGTATTTTTTAAAAACTGGCAGATGTTGTAAAGATTCTAGGAGCAATTTGAGGGTCAAAAGTCCTAGAAAATGTGCATCCAGATAAGGCTGCTTTGGTTTCTTCTTTAGATAAAAACTCTCTCTCACTCTCTCTCTGATTGTCTGACATACACACACAGAGAGACACATGGAGTATATAATTATTGTTTTAGGTTTAGTTTCTGTGATTAATTTAAATACTTGATTATTGCTTTATAGATAAAATGAATAGTCTCACTCACTCTTGTTTAGCCTTACAAATGTTTTTCCCCTTTTCTGAACAATGCAAAAATTTACTTTCATGCATGAAGATAAGAGATAGCTGGAATAAATTATTAAATAAGAAAATCTTTTTTAATAGTTTCATGAAGGCTAATTGTGAAATAAGCATTAATTCCCACCGACAATATTTATATCCTTATAAAACAGAACCAATATGTCTCAAGCTTTGAGCAAAGGATCAAGAATTTATTAGGTTCTATTCACTTTTGTAAAAAGCCAAAGCGGTTAGGTCATAATTTGTAGTTTGTTTCTTTTCCTTTTGTTTTTTTCTCCTCATCCCTTTACTTATGGCTAGGTAGTTTCTTGTTAGCTTTTCATCCATCAATCTGTATTATCTTATTTTATGGTATATGAGGTAACATTATTGAGTGTATATTCTCTCTCCCTCATTTTCCTACCAATGTCAAGGATGAGATATGAAAGGATTTAACAGTAATTTGTAAGCACATTGTTTAAACAATAATTAAATTGTAAGCAAGTCCAATTAAATAGTACTCCTAAATATGAATATTCATAAATTTTGTACTAAATACTTGGACACAACTTTACTTGGTGAACAACTGATGTGACATGAGTTTCGTATACCACACATGAGATGAATATATGATCGAAAGATCAAGAAATTATGATTTATAACTCATTAACATAATTCGCATAGTGGATATGTGCACAATTTCAAATATTGATTTTAGTAAAGTACATAAATATTTCATATATATGACTAAAAGTGTGATTAAAGTGAGGATTGAGATCTCATTTGTCACAAGTTGGCAATCTAACATTCAATCCTAAAAAACCCACCATATAAGTATATAACCATCCCATTGAATAGCCATTCAAAGTTGGTTTGTTTAAACAATAGTCCAAATAAAATGTGTTGGCCAACAAACAAATTGGGTCTTGGAGTTGAACAAAAACACTACAAAAGAAAATGTCCCCACAAACGTATTCCTTATTATTATTATTATTATTTATTATTATAACACCGTAACATAATCATAGTATTTTGTCAGGTGAACGACCAACCGTGCTTGTCACGTGTCCAAAACACCCAAAAACTCATCATAATTACCCCCAAAGGCCCAAACACCCTTTCCTCTCTCTCTAGACAATGGCCTGAAAGGCTGAAACACGCGCGCTCAAAAACACACACACACACACACACACTCTCTGCACTCATTTTTCACACTCATGTCCACTCAATTCACGCCGCCTCCGCCTCCGGCCGCCGTCGCCGACGGCGAATCGCCATCGAGAAGCTCCCCCGGCTCCTCGTCGTCCATAGTCATAGTCATCATCATCCTGGCCTCGGCGATCATCGTCTCCGCCTCAATCTACCTCATCCGCCGCCGCCGCCGCCGCGGCTCATCCGCCGCGGATCCCCATCCGGACCAGCCGCAGCCGCGCCGCGCCGCGTCACCCGGCGACCTTCTCGACTCCCTCCCGCTCTTCGACTTCCGCTCCGTCGCGCCTGGCGCCGCCGCCTCAGGCGACTGCGCCGTCTGCCTGTCGCGGTTCGAGCCGCGCGACCGGCTCCGCCTTCTGCCCCTCTGCTGCCACGCGTTCCACGCCGCGTGCATCGACGCGTGGATCGCCTCCAGCCAGACGTGCCCCCTCTGCCGGTCCCCCGTCCTCCCCTCCGGCGGCGCCGATGCGCTCGGCAAGATCCTCTCCGCCGAGGGCCGCGGGAAAACCGACAGAGCCGCCGTCGGCGGCGGCGGCGGCGGAAGCTTCCGGATCGAGATCGGAAATGTCAGCAGCCGCCACCCCGCCGCGGAAGGGGACGCCGGGCGCCGGCGGCGGTCGTACTCGGTAGGCTCGTTCGAGTACATATTGAACGAGAACGGATACGAGGTTCCCGTGGGGTCCACGACTCACAGCGGCCGATTTTCCGATTTCAAACCTAACGACAAGGATCCTTCGACGGCGGATCCGGCGGCGGAGGTAACTCCCGGCGGGAGGAGCCGACTGAGGGACTACGTCGACAGGCTGGTATCGATCTCCAGCTCTTCCCGGAATATGTCGTTTAGAAGCTCCGGCCGGTTTTTCTCCGGCAGCAGCCGCCGTACAGAGGCCGCTGCCGTCACGGATGACTTGGAGGCGTACAGGGCCGGAGAGGAAATTAGTGAGTTGTTTCGCTGGCTTTCTGGGGTTTGATTTGTAGAATGCTGAAATTCGAGGGATACAATGTTAAATTTTTGATTACTTGAATCATCATTTGGTTTTCATACGATCTCCATAATTTTAAGTTATTTTTAAGATTTGATTCCTTGGTTTATATTGTCTTTGAACGCATCATATTTTAATATTAAAAAATGGGAAATTAAAGGATTCAATATATAAATACTTCTGCCAATCAGTTAAGCACTAATTATATCCCTTTGGAAGTTTTTGGGTCTTAGGTTTCCATACAATTACAATTATGCAGCTGTTGAGATATANCATATTGAGTTTTTGGGAGCAATTTCAAGTTACAAAGTTCAGATTTGTGCAACATAGCTTAAATATTTGTGTGGGGTTTGGTCTACAAGAAAAGCATCATCTCCTTTGGTAAGTGGATAAAATTAGACTTGGGAGCACCAAATGTTGTTATTGTAAACATTTAGGGTGAGTTTGGTTAGTTTTATTGATTGAGTTTGATTATTTCCTATTAAAATATTTATATGTTATCCTCTTGATAAAAGAGGGCTATTAACTTGTTTGGTTACTAAATAATTATTAAAACCTTTAAGTTGAAATTACCTTTTTATCCTTTATTTAAAATTCAATCTGCAAATGTTTGTTTTCATCTTCGCGCATCACCATGCCTGTTTTCATCTCCCGCAGCCCCAAGCTTGAGTGTGCAAAAATTCAGATTTCTTCTGAAATTGAAAATTCATGAAAACACAATTTAAAAACTAAGCAGCTTTCACATATACCAATTTCTTTGCTCACAGTGTATTAAAAACCCACGAAAAAAATCCAAAACCCCAATTTTTACAACAAATAATTCCTTGTTGAAAAAAAAAAATCAGATTTTTCTTTAATTGATACAAAATTCTACAATAGAAATTCCATTCTTTTCCTTCTTTGTTCGTCGGAAACACAAATGCTGAGAAAATCCTTGTCGGAAAGCAATATTGTTGTAGATCAGCGGGCATTGCGCCGCGACGTTGGGGGACTGTAGAAGGAAGGTTTGGGCCCCGCAGGTCGACCGACTAGAGGCTGGGTTCTGGACGGCACCGTCGGGAGTCTCGGGGCGCGGTCGCCTGAAGTCCAGGAGCGGAGGGCAGCAGCGGAGTCATTTAGGGTTGACTTTCTTTGGAGAGCTTGGTCGTCAATGGAACTGGAGAATAAAATAGAGGTGTGAGGAGGAGAAAAAAGGTTATCTTAGAAAAGTTGGGGGAAATTGTGGAAATTTGTGGAAGAAAAGAGTTATGGGTAATTGTGTAAATTTAATAGCAAAATAATGATATACTCCACATCCCACCTAAAAGGTGGGATATATAATCATGAAATATCTTAAAAACTGACCGGGCTATTACTCATTTCAAGGGCCTCATTATTGGAACCAAACATGTTAATGAGATGGAAATATTGTGAAATAGTGTGATATCATGCACAATCCATCCAACCAAACAGACCCTTATTTTCCACATGTGGCAATGTGGCATTTAATGAATTCAAGTTTTCTGTAGTGACCAAGAAATTGAAAAACATTGTGTGACTTGTTCAGACAAATCGACGCACTTTTTAAAATAAAAATGCATATTTGTACTGAGACATGAATGTGGTATGTGGATAATGATTTGAATTGTGATACAATTNACAAAAAAAAAAAAAAAAAAGGATAATGATTTGAGTTGTGATACGATTCGTGTTTAAAAAAATGCATACTTATACAAAGACACGAATAAGTCATGAGACTGTAGATTTGAACTAGGGATAGTCAGAAGTAAATGATTTTCAAGTGAATTTCCATCAAGATATACTGCAGAAGTTCTAAAATTGTCTTCCATAAAAAGAGAGCAACTAGGCTAAATCAGTATATACTGCTACAGGCAACAAAAACAGCACATTCACGGGCCTAAAACAAAATCCAAGCCTTTTCAAGCAGCAAAACGAAACATAAAAACTCAGAACTCAAAGAGTCGTAACTCAATCATTCCCTCTTTCCGCTTAGGAGAATACCACGCAACCACTTTTCCTGATCTGAGGGCTCTTAGCGCGTAATTCAGGCTGTATATCACATCTTCAAGCTGGGGCTTGGGTCTTCCAGACGAATTCTCGAGCGAAAATCTTGAGTTGACCCGAAATACAATTGGCCCAAGAACCTGTGTCATCTCGAATAATCAATATATTGAAAAAAAAATCATTATTCATTTCATGCAATGGTTAATCATAGTTCACCTTTTTTCATCAGAGTTTATTAACAATACTATTGTTAATTCATGTTATGGTTAATCATAGTTTATGAAATTCAATGCAAAAATAAAAAATAAAAAAAATTATACATTCAAGCAGTATAAGAATGAAGGGAACGTATGTATAGCTTTACCTGTTGCTGGAAAATGAGATTGAGTTTGGGAGAGGACAAATCATTTTGTGGTGGATTACTGAAAAGACCCTTGGCTAAAGATGAGGCCGAACAAATATCCAGACGAGCATCTATCCTGGTTAGGTCCAAGAAATAATTTCTGAACTTACCGAGTTGAAAACTACAGTTTGCCGAACCAAATATATCAGCACCAAAACGACTTCTGTTCTCTTTCAAACCAGCCAACCACGACTCACAATAACCACCTATATTTCACATACTAATAATGTGTTATATAATCGAACAACTAATCAATGAAAACGAGACAAGGGAAAAAAAACAAAATTGTGTGACCCCTGCATGTTTTTGGCCTATTAACATTTTATTATTATTATTATTATTATTATTATTATTATTATTATTATTATTATTATTATTATTATTATTATTAT